CAGCTGCCCCCTTGTCATATGCTAACTCCGTTCCTAGTTGTGTTTGCTTGTGCTGTCGAAGCAAATTTTTTTTTTTGTCTTTTTTTTTTAATTTTATAACTATATAAAATATTAATTAAAATTATTTATTTATTATAAAATTATATTTTTATAATATAAAAATAAAAATAAATAAATTTAAATATACAGTCATACATATAATATAATATACAAAAACTAATTAAATTAGTTATATTTATATTATATTTTATTGATTAAACTAAATAAGTATTAAAAAACATATCAACCAAAAGATGTAGAAATCACTTTCCTATATTTAAACATCTTATATAAGCCTAAAACGTGGTAGTGAAATTTAACAATCATGAAGCATATTCTAAGTATCATTTTCAAGTTCAAGTACATACACCATCTTTGCTTTAAGTTAAGACAAAAATACACTCTTTTTGTTTTTTGCTTTTTTTTTTGGTGTATGTAATAAGGATATCTCATTTTCTTTTCAAAATTTATATTGTGTATGTTAAGTAAACTATTGACCGCTTCATTTAGTCGCACTTTTTCTTATGAAAATATCTTTGTGTGGAAAGATATAAATAAAAACTTTAGACTTTAAACCTTTTTTTATTTAAATGAGCGCTAAATATTAAATAGAAGATGAACAAAGGTGATATTTTTTTCTCATTGGTTTCTTTCTCTTTTATTAGACTTTCTTTCTCATTTGGGATTTCTACCTTAACTCTTTTGACATCTTTCATTTGGTTTTGCCTGTGGTAGAGGAGGGTTGAAGACAGGATGGATGTAGAGTTGGTTGGTCTCAAACTAGTTACAATACTTATTTTGACTGTAGATGTGGTTGAAAGCTAGGACAATCCCTCACTAATCTTTCTACTCCAGAAGTTGCAACATTAGATGAGACTTCTTAGATGTTTTGAATGTACAATTGGAAATCCTCGATTTGTTTGCTCCACTACAATGATTGTGTATGTAATTTCTTATAATTGATGACTCTTTTTACTTAATTATCTATATATATCATGGGACAAAATCATTTGTTACTAGTGCTATAAGTTTAAGGACTATTTTCGTAATCTCTTCACTTTATCATCAATAAATCTTATTATTCTTTATAAGAAATAATTAGGGTGTTGTACAATAAAGAAAACAAGAGAAGAAACAAAAATTAGAGAGATATAAAGGAAAACAAAAAGATTGTAAATAATTGTATTATTCTTCTTAATTTCTTTCATGTCATTTTTACTCAAGTTAGACAGCTTATAAATAGGCTAAAAGAATAGTAAAAGTTATAAGAATAACTAAATAACAATTGATTATCATATAAATACATGAGAAAATGAAAGTTTAGTCAACATTACTTACATGACAAAGTAGAGAGTTCATCACTATTATTTGGTGTATAAGTGCATGAAAAAAGGAGGTGGTAAATCATCATTACTTAATCTCTAATTACATGAAAAAGTGAGAAGAGAAGAACGTGTGAAACATCCACCATACATTATTTCGTACTTTAGAGCTCTATTTTATTTTGTAGTTTGGAAATAGAATGATAATAAGTGTTCAGACTATAAGTAACAACTATCAATAATTCTGTATTACCTCTCAACTATCAATTATTTCTAAATAATAAAGTTACGATTTATATACTCCTTCGGTCAACATCAGCTGCACCGGACCGCCAATTTTTAACAGATGGAATGCTTTTGAAAAAACTTTGGACCTGTTATCTGTGGTTTTAATACAAATTGTCAATTAACTTTTATTATAATCTTTTGGTCTCTTAATTTTTAAATTTAATTAATATAATTTGATGATTTTAATTAACATTATGCAACGGTTATACATTCTCTTAACTTTCCTCTCTAATTGATTGATCTTCCTATAACTCACACTCCATTTTCAATATAGAGGACCATTTTAGTATTAAATTTTAAATTTTACTACTAAAACGCAAAAAGGAACCAAAAATAATTAAGGCTATTTTAACGCAAATCCACAAAGTTAAGGACCACAAATGTATTTATAACCCTTCTATGTAAAGTCTAGTTATCGTACTCCACAGCTGCCCTTCATTAAAATCGGCTGGACTTCTGCTAACCCACCGTATTATTACCAACGACAGCCATCACTATACGTGTACGGCTGCTGATAAAAAATTCTCAATACGTGTACGGCTGCTAAGTCATAATCAGAGTTAACTTTTCCTTACACGTGGCAGAAACCCATAGGTCAATTCCTTGTGATTAAATTCAATCACAACTTACGCTTATATAAATCCTCAACTGCCTCTGCTCTTCTTCAATTCCCCTCTGGAGGAATAAAAAAGAAAAAAACCTGAAATCAGTTCCTTGGGATAGAGTCGTCGGAAAACGCCGAGCGTGGTCGTCATGGTATTTTTCTGCTTTCTTGTAGATCAGAAGCGGAAAGTGCACAGTAGCAAGCCAGCAGCAGGGTTTTGCTCGCGGTGCGGCGGAGGGGCTAGCGTGGCTGATATGAGTACCGCTACAAGGTTTTGCTATGTGCCCTTTTACTGGAAATCTTGGAAGGCAATTATCTGTACTTTCTGTGGCGCAATTCTTCGATCTTACCGATGATCATGGTCGTGTCGGGAGATATATGTGATTAATTAGTATATATATTGGTTCTTTCTTTAGCTGATTTTTGGTGTTTAAGCGTTGAGAAGCTAGGATATTCATATATATATATATATTATGGATTTTCAGCTGATCTAGGTGACCTTTCGCTGCTCTGTTTTCCTTCTCTTAGAAGTCTTTGCTGACCTTGAGTGTCAGCGTATTAATATTATTGACTAAAATTCAATTTCTTGAAGAGGTAATGAAAAGCTAGTTACTAGTGAAATTTCTAGTTTCTGGTGTGAGGATCTGCCTATATGGATTGATTATTGTACAGAAAAAGGAAGTGATGTATTATTGCTTCTGTTAAGAGAAACTTAAGAGGAAAGGAGGACTACAGGAAGCGTATTTATTGCTAGTAAAATGCAATAACAATTATGGGTGCTGCAAAACTTACCCACATCACAGCTGTTATCTGCAAAATTTTCTTGGGTACCAGATATACTGTCAATGAATCACTTTACAGCAACTTTCGAAAAATTTATTGACCGGATCCATGTTTAAATCTAGGGTTTCCTCCTGTCTCCCTTTCACAATCTATCTGGCAATAACCTCCCACGAGGGGAAAAGACTTCTTCCTCTATTCCACAAATTTGTGTTTTTTATTATTCACACACACACATTAAAGAGCCACAATTAATTACTGTTATTCTTTCACAATTACATATATACTTAGCTTAGAGAAATATAAAAGAGAAGTTTGAAAGAATATTTTAAGATGTACCTTAATTAAGCACATAAGTTAGGGTGCAATTAATATTTTGGAGTATGAGGGTACCTGCCCATAAAGTATGAACATAAAGTTTCAATTAAAATTTACCACGAAAGCAAATAAAAAAATTAATATATCCTTTTAAAATCAAAATTTTATTCATCTAAAAAATAAAAAAGTACAATTAATACAATCTTTAAATTATTTAGTATTGTAGAAAAAAAAAAGTACCTTTATTTAATGTTAACTTGATGAGGTGTATTATTAAGTGTAATTTTAGTTTTTAGATCTTGTTTGAGTTAAAGAGAATGGAGAGAAAAGAAAACAACGAGAGGAAAACCTCATTTAAATATAGGTTAAAATGAAAAATGTAAAGAAATTAAAAAATAAAATTAAAAAGCTTCTTTCCTATCATTCCCTTTATATTTTTATTATCTAAATAAAGGGAGCTTCTCCATTCACTTATATATATATATATATATATATATTTCTATTAAAGCAAATAAATCTTTAATTTGAATGTTAAAGTGAGAAAGAAAACAACAATTAATTTATATAAATTAAATTTAGTAGTGAGAGAAAAGACAAGTAATGTTTGTCGCATGTTAAAGTGTTACTATATCACTTTAAATTTTGTATTTTTCCTCTTGCATTCACTTAATTAATTAGTTTTTAATATCATTACTCTCATTTATTCAACTCGAATGATCTTAGGAGACATTTAGAAATTGAAAGAAATTTTTTATTATATAATTAATTATCGCATGTAAGAAAGAAAAAAAATATAATATATAATGAAAAATTTTTAATGGTTGGATCTATAAGAAATTAGAAAGAAAAACATAAAAAATTATGTTGTTTATTAACTCTCCTTTTTATGTGCATGATCTATGTATGCAAATAGAATATTAAATCTAATAATTGATTTTTTAAAATATAAATGTTATAAGAAATTATTAATTAGTGTAAATCATAGTTTAGTTTATACTAATATAAGTTGATTCTAAATCATATATATATATA